GTTCAGTGAAATGTACTTGTTGCATTTGCGATCCTCTCTCCCATAATGACACTAATTTAGCAAAGAGCTCTCTTAAGCAATGAGACTAATCTAGCAAGGAGCTTTGTGTTCATTTCTGCCTAACTTGCTGCTCAGGATAAAAAAAGCAGAGGTTTCCTTAAAATGTAACAGAAGTGTCTGAGCTGCTTATAAATGAATCCAGCACTTCTCAAATAAATTGAATGTACTATTTTTACTGGGCATCTCTTTCACCACTACTTTGAGGCTTGGATTGCCAACCGTAGACAAACTGAGTTTTATAGCCTTATTCTTTGGCTATAAAGAAGTCTTCTAAGGCCAAGAAAGTGACTGAGGAAAGCCCATGGATGTTCCACTGCCATCAAATCAAGGAACTTCAGGGCCTTCTCTGGAGCACATCATTTTTGTATTGTCTGAGCGGACAAGCATAATTTCTCTGTAATTACTTGACATTGATGATTTTTTTTTGAGAGAGACAGGAGTAAAATAGGAATGAGATGCAGTAGCATCCTACTTCAAAGACATGGGAATCTTTGAGGTTCCAGTGCTTTTGTGGTGATTTGTTCGGGTTTTTTTTATTAAGCTGTTTATGGACAGGAAAAAAAAAAACAGTATGTGGCTTAGCTCCCAGGCTGTTTTGAGGGTGTTTTTGTTTTAGGTTTGGGGGGGGGGGGTGTTTGTGGTTTTGGTTTGTTGTGGTTGGTTTTTTTTTTCTTTCTTTCTGTGATGTGTGGATGAAGCAATTCAAGAGAAAATCAAGTTCAGGGAAAACTCTGAGCAGTGTAAATGTTTTCTAATGCAGGCTGTATTGTTCTACAGTCTCTGAGACTATTTGCTTTTTTCATGACCTAAAAGCAGACGATGGCGTAATACTTAAACCATTTTCAAAATTATTGCTATTCGAGAGTTCTAGTCCTTTTTTGAACCACAATGAGGGAGTGTGTACAAGTGTGGCATAAACAGTGTGAACGTCTCAAGCTGTCTTCCATGGACTGTGCTTGAAGTGCAGGTGTGTGTCCTGAGGACAAGCATGTGGAGTAATTGCAGCATTCTGAAAAACGGTGTATGAGAGTAGATTTTGTTACTTCTTGTGATTCTTCACGTTCTTGCTGCTGTTTTCAGGAGTGTGTAAAGATCTTTTCTCACTAGGTGTTGCAACAAGTGCAGTTATTACACTTATTTGCATTCCTGATTGCTTGTTTGGTTTATCTTTTCTGGTTGGTGGAAGCAGACTTCCTTATCTTGTAGTCCATGATATCTCCTTAGCTGTCCTTGGAAACAGTCCTCCTGAAAAGTCTGGACTTCTGAAATCCAGATTTAGAGCTTTAGCAGTGGTGTCTTTTGCTACTTGATAGGTCATTTCAGGTATATTGTAAGAAACTTAAAATGGATAAGAGGCAGGAAAATAGCAGAGCTGCATGAGTGTTTATAAAATTTTCCTTCATAAATTAAAAACAATTTTAAAAATTGCTCAGGTGTTCAAAGGAAAATGCTGTGCTGCTTTGTTCTGAGGATATTGTAAAAGGATTTGTGATGAAGTTGTTGTGCAGCTGTGGAAATCCCCAGGCTTCTCTGGAGTTCTGTGCAGAGGTTTCCTATTCGTTCAGCTGGAATTCAGGGCAGCTTTCGCTATGGGCTGTTTGCTTCTTCCAGAGGCAGTTGCAGAATGGAGAGGCCAAAGTAATGTATTGGCTTGGTAGAGATCCAAGAGATCCATTAATGAGATCCTCTCCAGTCTTGCAACTTAGGATTTTGACTCATGATATACTTCCAGCTGAAGAGTGTAATAACTTTGGGAAGGTAGACTATTTGTGAAATTTAAGAGTAATACTTGCATGAAAAGCAGTACTGCACATCTGAAGCCTGTTTCGGGGGCATTTTTTATGCAAGTAAAAAGTTGTGGGTGGAAGAGTAGAGTGAGGGTTTATTTTGCTCTTAGCTGTGTTATTTTATTAGTCACATGTTAAATAATGAGCTCTGGACTTGCTGTATGGCTGACTACATATGACAGGCCCTTTGAGGGGCAAGCCACTGTTTTCCTCTTAGCAGGACTGACATTGCGCCTGTTAAGCTACAACCTCCTCAGCGGACAGAAAGTGCTCAGAGGCATTGTACACTTTTATGATATAAAGAATGGGCCAGGCGCTACTGAAACCAGTTATATCATTCTCTTCAAAAGCGTGAGCACTTGTTGTGCCATAGGCATACCAAGCCCTGCCTGAGCTCCAAAAGGAGGGCGTGAGTAGCGCAAAATGATCGCTTAAAGTTCATGTGCTGCAAAGCTTAACATTCCCCAACCCCGGTAGCCTCACGTGTATTGAATGATAAGACAATGCTAGGATTGGTTTATATTCATTGCTCCTTTTTCCTTCAAGTCACAGGGAAAAATAACAGCTAAACTGGCAGTGCAAAATACTCCGTGGCCTAATGCTGCTGCTTCTGTATGTGGAAGGGGCTGGTGGGAAAACTGCTGCATCCATTGGTACGAAGATGCATTAAATATCCCAGGTTCTGCTTGCCTTGCATCACTTACGTGAGGATTGCAGACTTTAAACACTTTACCAGTGCGTAAACTGACTTCCGCAAAATAGCAGGAGCTTGGCTGTGCGACCGGTGTGTTTGAAGTAGTGCGGTTCTTGATGCACGTTTTCAAACTGTACAGTAATGCCAGATCAAGGTAAACAATAACTGAAAACTCACAATAAACTGCAGGTTCCCAGAAACAAAAATGTGGTGTTGAGAAAATATTTTTTCCCTTATTTTGAGTTAAAACACAGGTACAGCTGAATCTTGGTTTTCAGGCTTGTATGGTACTGTCATTCATACAGCCTAAGTTGTCCAGAGTTGCAGAATATGTGAGGAAGGACAAGGAAACGGTTTCAGCTACTGTTTTTTAAATATTTAACAGCAAAAGAACAAACTGTGCAGGTATGTATTGTGTTATATGCGCCTGCCAGCTTCCCAAATTTCATTTTGCTGTAAGTGTTAAGCAGTCTTTTTGAAGAATGGAAGTGGAATAAAACAGCATGATTGAATATTTAGTAATTTAAGCTGTGTAGAACACGTGCACAGATTGACCTTCTCTCACTTTAGTACAAAGGTGTGAGTGTAATAATGAAACTTTACACAGCAAAAAAAGAAAAGAGGAGAAAAAAATAAAATAAAAGTTCTTTATATTGTTATGGTTTGTCCGTCTGTTTCTTCTTTGTTTTGACTAGAATGATTCTTTCACAGGATTCGGTAGAACTTGACTTTGTTCTGGATTTTTTTCCTTGTTTAAGAGGGATGGGTAAAATCAGACAGGCCACTTTGAAGCTCCAGCACCGGCAGGAGTGTTGCAAGTTTTTTCTGCCAGGGTGCAAGAGTCTCGGACCTCGTCATTTGACAGGGTAAATGGAAACTGTCTGCCCAGCTGGTGCCTCCAAGATGATGTACAGACTCTCTTGCTCCATGGCCTGTTGTGAAGGGAAGTTCTCTAGAGCTGTTGGTAGTTCACTTAGCAGGACTTTAAGGACCAGTTTTAAGTTGCAAATCAAAAATCCTGATTTTGATCTTTTGCCTGATAGATTTTGTTTTTCTCTGAACTTCCCAACTAAGAGCATCTCTGCTGTATTTTTTGTATGGAAAATAATAGCCTAGTGGACATAACGTGTGGCTGGAGCCCAGGGCTCCTCGTGGTCCAGTCATCGTAAAAATGTGATTTGGGTTGAAACAACAGTTGAATTTAAAGGAGAATAACTCTTCTTTAGATAAACTATAGGATTTTCTTACTCTTTTGGAGTAATTACAGTACAAGACAACATTGAGAACTTCGTAATCAAAAGGTTTTCTGTTTCTTAGTGACATTTCAGTTAAACGTGCTACTTGGCAGAGTAACTTTGAGTGGATGCCACCCTGTGTTTTTACAATTTTGCTTTACAATAGTGGATTGCTTGGTTACTGTTCACCACTAGAGAAGTAGAAGGTTCTCCTGACAAAGTCTGGTCTCCTCACACCTTTTCTTGCACATTTTGTTTTTCCTTCCATTTTTATATTGATGAATGATTGACCAGTTCTGAAAGCCTTTTGTCGGTAAAGCTGGTAATGATGTAACAATGGAGCCTCTCAAGCTCAAGTGCTTGCCTTTTTTTTTTTTTTTTTTTTTTTTTTTTAATGCATTCAGGGAGCAAACTGGCAACTGTTTGATATATTAAGCTGATTTCACCCCATAAAAATCCAAAAGCAGCTGTATATTCAGGACAATGATTGAAGAGTGCTCAATGTTTCATCCTCCTCTGTTCTTTCAAAATAAAAACAACCCTAAGGATTAGGCCAAAATCCAGTTGATTTTATTTTCGGTTCAATTAAACTAATTGTACTTACACTTTCTAATAGTCTTCCCAAAGCAGTCATGCTAGCATAGCGTCTGATTCTGCTACAAGTCACCTCTTACAATAAAGAAATAGACCACACTGGGGTGGAGGGAGTGTGTGTATAGATATATAAATTTGTATGTATAAGAGGTTTTCTTATGGTCTCAAATGGAAATAGCTTTCTCAATGTTGCTGCAATAAAAAAACATTTAAAGTGTCCAGTGTGTGATTAAGATAGTATGGGGGTACTAAAAATGAGAGCAAATTGCTCAGTTCTGATACTAGACCAAGCTGTACCGAGGTCCTGCAGCCTATTGTGCCTTACTTCCATGTTTCTAGCATAGCAGAGAACCAACCTGCACGGCCACATCTAAGCAGCGTGATTGGGATGCAAAATATTAATGTAATCCAGCACAATCTCACATAAAATATTCAGTCAACATTATGAAGAGGCTGAAATGATAGTCTCAAAAGCAGGACAAAGAGTTAATGACAAGTTACAAGGTGGTAGCAGACACCTCTGACTTTCACAGTTCAGATACAGTCCCGGTTTTGCCTGACTTGAGGGAAGACTCTTCCAGTTGTCAGCACAAGCAGAGTAAGGATGCATGCTCCGTGGCTTTACCATGCAGAAAAAGCTTAAGTCAGTCATCAGTAAATTAATCCTTGTTTCCCAAAGGAAACGTCAGGAAGTTATAAAAGTAGTTAGAGTATGTGGACTGGTCTGCCCACTGGAGTATGGTCGTTTCATTTTCTAAGGGCTTCTTCCCATGCGCTGTCTATCTTGGGGAGTGAAGCACATAATTAGGAAATGCTCTTGTTTGCACTTGGGGATGATTTGAGCTAGTTACTCGAAACAGAAGTCTTCAGCGTGTTCTTGATGAAGGTGGCCGCTGGCTCCGGTGTTACGCATACATCGTGAGCTGCAGCCACTGAAAGAAGAGTTAGAATTAAAGGATGGAAGACTTACTGGCATCCTCCAACAAATTGGATTGAGACACCACCATCTCTACTGAAAGGCAGCTCTTTGCTGACAGTATGAAGCACAGTGGCAGTGAGGAATTGTGTCTTAGGCTTCTTGCTCCTATTCCTCCTTCCCTTGCAAAAAGTGAAGGGTTTTTTATGGTCTCTCTAGCAGAAGACGTGCTTTTAAGTTGAAACTTTCTAAGTCTTCTTAATAAGATTTTGAAAAGGTAAAGAACAATGTTAAACCCCATTATCAGTTAATGCCTGATAATAATCAAACATCAGAATGTTTGATTTAAATTGTCGCATAATTTCGAAAGTTTTTTGAAGCGCTTTAAAACTGATATGAAGAGTCTGCAGCCGTGCCCTTCAGCACCAGCTGGAGTCTTACAGAGCAGCTGTTGCTGGCAGATCGTGGATGTTCTCTGTGTAAAATTGGTAGCAAGATTAATGGAGGTTTTGTGGCCTCTTACCAATTGGATGACAATTTCGGACCAACTCTCATAGGCTCCCTTGAGAACATGTGTAATGAATAATACAATTAAAATTTAGTGTTGCGACATTGTGTTAGAAATACTGGCATAAAGCAGTTTACCTCCAGGACATTGAGCTTAATGATGCCATCTCCGTCTTTATCGAAGGCGTGGAATGCCCCTAAAGCAAGGAAACAAAAATATATTGAGTAGACTAAGTTACCATATGCGTAAAGATGATCCTAAATAGCAAACCAGTTATGCTCCTGTTGTGTTATGCGGGCTTGTGCAGGTATTTACTTACGTTGTCAGCAAGTATTTTTGCTGTGTTTCTCCTTAGCTAGTACAAGGAGAAATGCCGTGGTTTCTTTTGTGTTTGTATGAGATGGTTGTCATATTTTAGATTCCCTAAGCACATAGCTTTAATTGTTAATGCTATATATAGGCAGTAGTGCTTTAGAGAAACTTTGAGTACAACGCCACATTTTGGGGGTGAGGAGGGGAGGCAGCACAGTAAAACCGGGGCAGCCACTCACTGAACATGGCGTCCAGGCGCACGAAGCAGCAGATGAAGCTGTCAAAGTCGATGTTCATGTTCTTGTCAGCGTAGCGCATGGTGATGATGTCGTAGAGCTGGTTGTTCAGCCGAAACCCTGCAGAGGACCAGAAATGGGGCACAGCTGGGCCGGGGGGAAGCGCTGGTGCTGGCCAGGCCTCCAGGAGCCATTTGGCTGCAGGCGCTTCCCAGGCCCAGCCAAGGCTCAGGCTGGAGGGTGCTGCTGCAGCCGCTACATGAAATGAAGTAAAGCTGTAAGGAGCTTCCCTGTGTCCAGCTGCTTTCTTAAAACAGGAGTAACTTTTTGAAACTAGGATTTAGTAGCATGTGAGTTACCTCACGCTGTAAGTATGAAGAGGAGAGGTCTACACCAGAGAGCCTGCAGCTCAGCTGGGCCTGGTAAGAGCAAAGCAAGAAAACTAGGTGACAGAAGCATAGCAAGAAGTTACTATGAAAACACAATTACACAATGGTAAAAAACACAGATAAGGAGGTAACTCCTTGGCGTGGTGTTACTGAACTGTGGCACTGACTGCTGCAGCGTGTGACTGCACTTCATAAAGGGTCTGTGATTTGGGTACTGCTGGTTGTCAGCTAAGTGCAAGGTCATGCAGAGCCTACATGCTGTAAGACTGAGAAATTCTTACTGTAAAATGTGTTCCTAGTTCTAAAGTCAGGGCAGGAGGTAATTAATTTTTTTTTTTTTTTTTACATTGACAAGTTTCCCGGTGAGAATGGAAACCTGGAAAATAAAAATTACCCATATTCCTACTGCAGCAGGAGTCCAAATCCAGGTGTAGTTTTGTCCTTAGCAAAGGATCGAATGACTGATATTTTGTAAAGTACAAGATGGCCATCTGTTTCCATTCCTTGATGAACTGGTAACTGATGTGCCAAAATAGTGTTACGGAGATCATCCCATCTAGGTTTGTAGTGATACTACAGATTTTCTGATTAAAGAAGTCATCTTGTTCCCTTAGAGAGCTGGTAAATACATTTGCTGGGGGAGGCCTGCTCTCCAGGGCTGGAAGCATACCAGTGTGTTTGAGACAAGAAGCAAGGAAAGTCAAAAGCCTCTATTTGCAGGACGAATTTCATTAACTGCAAGTTTTGCAAAAATACTTTCTTCTCACTGAGCAGGTGGAAGATGAGACTGAGCCCGTGGTGGCATAGTGACTAAGAAACATGAGCAGGACTCAAGAAACATCTATCCAATTGCCTCTGATGCAAACTTGGACATTGACCTGCTCCGCCTTGGTTTCAGTGTCTGCATGCTTGGGTTGAAGGTTTTCCATTGTTGTTTATTCGTTACTTGCACAAACATAAAGAATCCACAGCTTAAATGAGAGCAAATGTCTTCGGCACTCCCTGGTCCCCCTGAACAGCAGGACCCTGAATAGGAGATCCTTAAGACAGCAGAGAATCATCCATTGGAAAGCTTAAAGACCTGAAGAGATCTGTTTCATTGGCAAGATATACGAGACTCGCCGTTTGGATATTTGAGACATTCTGTTGGGGGAAAACCCCAATTTTTAAATTTCTCTAGGGTCTGTCTTTAAAAGGCGACACTGTGTTCCTGATCTCACCCTGTGATACATTAAACAAATAAGGTTTCTTCAGCTGTTGGGCACTGGGGGAAGTACCTGCATCATTGACTGCATTGCGCATTTCGTAGCTGTTGATAGTTCCTGAATGATCCGTGTCATAACGCTTGAAAATTTTCTGGAAAAAAAAAAATAAATACACAACAGAAATAAAAACTTGTACTTCTGTTGAACATACCTGCTGACTGGATATGGGATGGCCACCTCAGACACTTGGAGGCTTTGCCATTTGCCTTACATTGCTGCTGCAGGGCAGTCTGGGTTGTTAGCAGAGAGCTCCTCTCAGTCACAAAGTAAAATAATTTAGATCTATGCAATGAGAAGAAAAAGCTCTCCCCTAGAGACTCTCCTTGTTTGCCTTGAGTTTATGGTGTTAATCCTCTCTCTTGACTGTCATAATTAAGCTATTTGTGAGCCTGATTCTAGTTCCTATCCTCCTTTTCCTCCTTCAATTTGTATGCCTCCATGCTGCTGTTGTGGGGGAAGTCCTTATGTGAGTGCTGGAGCTTCAGAGATTCAGGCTAATTCCTTAGGCATTGAGTAGGATGAGGAGAGATGTTACTTTTCTTTTTAGAAGCTAATCTGCAATTTTTTTAACTTTTCTTTTTGCTGTAGTCTGTGTAGAGAGTTCTGGTTTTCCTACACAAACTTTTGCACTGTAGAAGCTGTGAAGACAGCGTGGTGGATACCAGCAATACCTGCCAGCTTTTAATCTTGTCCCAGAGATGTCGAAACTCATCAAAGTTTATCTTCCCTGAGCCATCTGTCTGTGATGCAAACATTCAGGTAAAAAAATCACAATATTTTTAAGAGGAAATTAAGTCTGCAGCTACTGGTGAAGGGATGAATGTGAAACTGAGTTCAGGGTCTCCTCAGCATTAAGAGCTGGCTGAGCTGTGCAGTAAAATATTTGTGTTTTGGTTATCGTGCATATTATTTTGTCTCAGGAGTGTGAAGTACTGTTTGTACTTTGTGTAGAAGCAAACATGGTATAGGAGAGAGGCTTGCCTCTGGAGCTATTATAAAGTACATGAGCAGGATGTTTTAGTGGGCTCTTTCCAAATGCCGCGAAATGTGAGGCTTGCCCAACATTTCTAAGACAACTGAGCTTTATCCTAGCATGAAGCTCCTTCTGCCTTTCTTAAAGTGAATTGCGAACCAAACAAAATGTTGACTAAAGCCATTTACAAAAATGTATTTAGGCTCAAACCACTATGGCTCTGGATTGTAGTTACAGTTTTGCTCTGTTATGTTTGAACGTGATTATGCTCTCTCAAAATCATGAGTTATGTCAAACAGGAAAACTGTGTGATGTGGTACCAGAAGTAACCCCATATGGAATCTTGTAGCGTGTTTTACTATACTTGCTCTGAGACAATTTCTCTCACGTTGCACGCTAAGCATACAGTGAAATGTATAATACATTATAAACTTAAAGATAAGAGAGAAATATAGTAAGTTTGTTGGCAAGAACTGTAGGTATGTTGGGTTGGTTAAAAAAAGATTTTTTTAAAATCATGCTTCAGTATATGAGCTGGCCAGTTGCTGATACACAAGGAAGGGTATCACACTGACAGACTTATTGTATAGTTTTCTGGTTTGGGATATTTTCATCTGCCAACTATCCTAATGTTGAGGTGACTGGAGTTAAGATGTGCCAAACCAGGAAAACTGCATTACCTGACTACAAACTGTCCTGCTTCCCTGGCTTACTAAGTTGGGTGTGTGTAGTGGTGGGAAATACAACCCAAGTGGACCAGTTGGTATCTAGCACTCCTCTTTCACCAGAAAAGGATACATCCATTAAAGCAATCATGCTGCGGCAGGATTCCAGTTCGAATCCTTCTGTCTTTAGGTCCTTATCTGAAATAAATGGTCCCAGGTGAAAACAGATCATGCAATATTCCTCTTAGGTATAACTCTACTCAAAGTAGAAGCCAAACTAACTTCCTTCACCCAGTAAGAAAGGAGAGAAATCTGAAAAGACTCTAAGTAATGTTATTGCTGTGAATGTAATTGCCTGTGAATTAGAGGTCATTTTTCTTGACCTGTTATATACAATAAAAACATCTGGAAAACTCTAAGCTAACTTTCAGATAACTAAGCAAGCCCAGAGTCTGTAGGCTAAGTTTGCTAAACAGGAGAAAGGTCTGTCTCTCTGTTAGATTTTTTTTTTTTTTTTAAGGGCATTTGCAGACTGTTAGAAATGCTGTATTATCCTGCGTGGTGCTTCCAATGAACATTTGCTCAGTTTGGCGTTACCAGTACTTGATCACTCATAGAGAGCATCTCTATGAAAATTTCAGCTTGCTGAAGTCTGGGATGCAAAATCCATGGAAGTGTAACTAGGAAATTTGTGAGTTTGAAACCATAAATAATTTTTAGCATGCAACTTGGGGGTGGAGGGTTGTGTTACATCACAGCTTGCTTTGTCCAGGGTTACTGAAAAACACACTCAAACTCACGTTTTTTTACGACGTTATTGAGAACATTCCTGAGTTCTTCAGCATTGATCTCCATGTCCTGGTGGGAAATGTGATGTGAATATCATTAATTACAACCTCCCTTATAAAGCAGATCATTTTATGGATGGGTATGCTGAAAGTATGAAGTCTTTGGTCACTTTTCGTTATGGCATATACATGCCTCAAACTAGAGAGCCTTCTATTTCATATAAACATTAGTCCAGATCTTTCTTGAGGCTGCAGTACAAGATAGGTCTAAAGTTACCATGTAATGCTTAGTAAACTGCAACTAGAAGAATGACCAGTAAGTTTGAGCCACTGTATAAGCCAAAAAGCAAAATGCGAAAATCCCTGTAACCCATTTGCAGCCTCTTGATTTATGCAGTTCTTTGATTTATTTTTAACTTCCCTCGTTAAACTTATACTGGAGGGCATTGCATTTCTCACATGTTTATATATGCTATGCAAAATAGCATCTTGTAGTATTGATAAAGTAAAATCTGAATTTAAATAAGGCTCCTGTCTACACAATGGGGATAGCTTATATGTACATATGAGGATAGCTGTGTATTAATTGGATTTTTATTTGATTTTGCTTAGCTTCATATCTCAAAGGAAATTTGATGGCAGGAAATTCAAAGGGAATTTTAAAATTCAGTGTTTTGAATCCGTGAAGTGGTTTATTTAGGTGCTGTTGTGACTAGGCTGCTTTGATGGCAGAGACAGGGAGCGGTTGCATACTCACATCCCCTGCAATCTGTCGGAAAATGTTCCTGAACTGTGTTTCCTCTTCACTCTTCTCACGAGCTTTTGCTGAAGGACGCTGAAAAGAGAGAAGCAGAGAAGAGATGCGTCCTTAGCCCAGCAGGGAAGGCAAAGGGCCTGGATGGCTCTCTCACCCTCAGGCAAGGGAGCCTCTTAGTGAATCTGGAGGTCTTTAGAGGAATGGGTCTTCCTCCTGTTCCTTCCCTTTTTTTTTTTTGGTTAAATGTGTTCCTTGGAAAAACTGCTGAGTATTTAACTTCATCCCACTGCTCTCTTTTCTCTTGGAAGGAGCCTAAATGATTACTTTCACTGACAGAGTTTATCTTATTTTATTTTTCAAAACATCCCAAAGAAGTTTGGAACAGAAGAGCTATATCTGCTCCATAGCCACTCTCTAGGCTATGAATTGACCAGAAGGACTCAGGCTTGAGAGCTCTTTGTAGTGTGGGGGTGCCCTTGCTGGAGACAAGTAGACATGCAACAGAAGAAAATGGTGAAAGCAAAGCTTTCTCAGATGCTTGCAAAGAGCAACCCTGAACTCTGTGGCTGATACTGAAAAAGGAAACTCTATTTTACACCCACTCTCCTCAATATTAAATTACAAGAATTATATGTAACAAAGCGAAGTGGCTTTCTTGCTTAGTTTTTGATTTTGTTTGTCTAAATGCAGGGGAAAGTTAAGGTTGGTTCTTACTTCACCACCTGCATGGCAGTCATGCAGCAGACCAGCATGCTCCCTGTAAGCAGATGCTCAAGCCATGCCTCCAGATGCCACGAGCCTGGGTGCAGGATCTGGCTATTGCATCTCACATCCCTCACCCACCTGCAGGTAGAAACTCCAAATCTGCTACCCTGTTTTCCTCCTCTCTGATAGTGAGAGAAAAGAGGAGGATGCAGGAGCTCCAGGGTTTTACTCATCCTTTTCTCCTCTAGCCATCAGGGACCAGTATAGGGATGTGCAGTTTGTAATGGGGAGAGGCTGTGATCATTGCCAGGAGCTCCTGAAGCCCCTCAGGTGCAATTTACGGGTGTGCCCTGTGTAAAGCAGGTACTGCTTCAGGGGGCTCAGCAGGAGGGGATTGTGCTGCTTGGGGGGAAGGGATCTCTCACAGCCAGGATCTTGGTATGAGAGAGCAACCAGGAGATGTTTTCAAGCACCTAAATCCTCCAGCACAGGTGTTCAATAACTGAAGGGGTCATCCCTTTTGCTCATGCTCATTAGATCCACGTAAACCAGATGCAAGTTACGCTACGATCTTGGGACCCTTCTTTGTCCCATTCCTGTGCTCTCCCCAGCCACTCTTTCATGCTAGCAGACCAAGTCCTATTTCCCCTTTTGCCACTTGCTGCAGAAACCTTTTTCTGATCTGTGTGGGTTTTTTCACCATCTTTGCCAGCATCTTCATCTGCTGTCAGCTCCTTGTTGCTGTTCGCTCTGTCAGAAACAAAGATGATAGGCTAGAAGAAGAAGAAGGAAGAGGGCAAAAGAGAAATGGAAATTACACAAGAAATAGTGGAAGAGAAAATATTTGGTGACAACCATTCTGTGGTAAAGCGCATGCAGCAAGACCATGACCAGAGAAGCCAGCGCTGGGAATGAACAAAAAGAAAGGGAAAAAAAAAAGAAAGGTGGAGGAAGTTCTGAAGTTACTGCTCTTCTCATGCTAAAAAAGCTGCAAAAGTCTTTTGGCAAAATACTGCAATCTCAGGCTTTTGGCTTTATTTTTCAGAAAGCCAGTAACTGTTTAAACATTTCTTTTTCTTTTTCTTTTTTCTTTTTTTTTTTTTTAATTAATAAAAATGAGTCTCCCAGAGTCTCGATTCTCAGTTAAACTGATGAACTTGCCCCTCTCTGTGAAGGACAGTAGCACTGAAAACAAACAGAATCTGAATCCTACACAGAAGAGGAGTATTTGTGTAGGACCCTGTTAGGTATGCAAAGTGCATGTTCTTTCTCTGTATTAATTCTTGAAGCATTCAGCTGTAAGCAGCCACTTGCAATTGTTCTGGTTTAGGCCATTTAAAACAAGGAAAGCTGCTACAAGATGTGAGTATTATTACTGGAGTATTAATTACAATCAGCGTGTCTTGAGATTAAAATGTCTGACTACATTTTCAAGGTCCTAAATGTGTTGTGTAGAATCAAAAGGAGAATCCTGGGCTTTAGTGAGCAGAAACTTCAGGAAAGAGGAGTAGCTGCATTAGGCATTAGAAAGCAAATGTGAGGGCAAGTGTCTGCAGAAGGGGTGCTTTTCACTAGCAAGTGGTGTCAGGGTGCCTGCGGAGGGGCTGGAAGGAAGGGCAGTTTGAGCAACCCAGAGGAACAAGCTTATAAAGCTGAAAAGCTTGTGTTACCCTTTTGCCACCCCCTTGAGTGAGAGGGGTATCTGATACTAATGCTATTTCATTAGAATTTACTGTAGGAAAACAAAAGCTTTGGTGCCTGCAAATGGCCTCTTATCCAGTGTCTTCATTAACTAGAGCAGTTTCCAGATGCAGGGAGATCGTGATACTGAGGAACCCTGCTCCTGCTGCATGCATTGCACGTGCTCTTTGCCTTGCTGGCACTTGGCACATTCCACGAGTACCCACCTTGCCCTTTTTCTTCTTCTGTACAAAACGAGACAAAATAATAATAAAAAAAAAGTGGTTTTAAACAGATTTATAGATTTTACCCAGAATATGTAGAGCTGATGGTAAAGGTGTTTTTTTTTCTCTTGCCCCCTCTCACATTTATTTTTCCCATTCCTATAGTCATACATTCTTTCCCATTTCCTATATTCATATGGTTTTCAAATCTCCAAAAATGAAGGAAAATGCACCCACCAAGAAATTGCATACTGAAGGACAGAAATTGCAGAAACCATAGCAAAACAGTGTCCCATCTCATCTGGGGCATTGTCTGCTTGAATAAAGTCTCTTTTGCACCTTTAGCTCTGACTATTCCTTTTCTTTTCCCCAACCCATTAGTGCAGTGGAGATTGGACTTCTGTGCCCACAGATCAATGTCATCTGAAGTGGCAATTAAATTCCATCAGATCTGGACAGATATTTTCTTATCAGGTCAGCAAATGAAAGGGGAATGCTTCTGAGCAAGGTTTGATGGAGCTCAGTTCTGTGCAAGAGCATTTCCTCCGAATTTTTTTCAAGGCTAATTGTATTGTTATCCCTAGTATATTCCACAAAAATGCATAAAAACTCGGGGTGAAGAGTTAGAGCTTGTCACGGATGCTAGTTTGAATGAGAGTATCATTAAGATCTCTTTCCAGAAAGCATGTACTTCAAAATAAGGTATTTTTTTTCTTTCTTAGATGAGATACCCATTTCACAAACAAAATACCTTGGAGCACAAAGCTAGGCCTCCCCTGGTAAATGAATAATCTCCATTGACAGAGGCAAAGGCGATGCTTAGCATCCAGCTTCTTTATGCCAGCAACAGATTTCAAATCTGGCAAAAGATTTTGGTCTGACCAAATCAGAAAGTAGTTTATGAACTTAGTAGTTCTTGCTAACACTAAGCAAGTGTTAACAGAAGTATCTTGATGAGGAAAAAAAAGTGGGAATTTCTACTAAAGGAGCTGTCATGTGGCAGGAAATCATTTCCTGCTGCAGGTTTCCATAGATGTGATGCTCCTTCTCTGCCTCCCCCTATTCATGTACAAAAGAGGCCCAGGACAGTACTTACTGATGGACGATCTGCCTCAATCATGTTTTCAGCCTCCCTAGAAGAAAACAGAAAGTAAATAAATCAGGAAAGTGACTGTTCTCAGCATTGCTTGTAAGCTTGAACTTTCCAAACAGCCAGTGGTGTGAGCTGGCTTCCAAGCATTACAGCTACAGGCTCTAAACATAGCTTTTTCCCAGTTCGAGCTCAGCATCCCAAGTACCACTTCCAGGAGGGCTGCTGCCCGGTTTACTCCTCTAAAGAGCCTTGATAACACTGAAATTTGACAGCTGGGAGTAAAATAGAAGCTGTTTGGCCGAAGTAGAGTGACACTGGCTGCAATTTGCTGAGCTCTGGGAAACTAGTTGAAGAGAGGATGGAAGGGCAATAACTATCTACTTCTGTGTTTTTGTTCGTGACTGAAATTAGATCTGGTTCAATGATTTATCTGGCCAGAACTTCAGCCAGTGGCTTATAGCAATAAAACCAAACAGATCCATTTTCATTATTAAAAATGGCTAATGGTATGTTTACAAAGGATATCCTGCAAGTAGTAAGCTTCTCCAAAGACCATTCAAAGCAGGCTCTTTTTAGACTATAGGGAAGCTCAGAGGAGTGAGTTTGCAGCTTGGAGTTTCTAATGAGGTTAAGAAAATTAAAAGCAGGGTGTGGCAAACTGGAAACATGACTGTATAGCAGACTAGCAAGCTCACCTCCACCTTTATGGCCAGGTAAACAGATCTGCAACTTACTCTGAAAGACTTCTTTTCTCTGAGAAGACCCTCAGGATGAATTCTCCCTCCTGATGGGGTTCATATGTTGATGGGATGATGACGTACTCGCTGGGAGGTAACCGGAAGCGCTCAGAGACTTCTCGCATGTTTATATAGGTCTTGCTTCTAGCTTTGGAGGCATTGTAGAGGAAAAAATCCTTTTGCAAGTGGTGCTTAGTACCATGCATCTGCAGAACAAACAAGTCAATTTGTCTTCAAGGAAGTCTTACCCATTGCCCAGGTGGCTTGTCATGCAGGCAGTACACGCTTGGGACAGAAAACACAAATAAAGCAGCAGCTTAGCAAGCAGGGAGCTGATGAGGGATGCTAGCTGGTAACAGGTATGGAGTCTGTAACCTTTAAGTTGCTACTGGCTGGGTCTAGGTGGCTTCTGAGGGGTGCTCCAGGGCCCACCTGCAGAGCGTTGGCTGACTTCTGTGTAGGCACTTTTATCTGACTGTTTTATTGGATGCTAGGATCTGTGTAAACAAAGTTCAGCTGTCTTCTTTGCAGGGTGGCATGGCAAGGAATGACATATGCACACTCCTACATGCAGTGTGGTAAGGTGAAGGTGCTTTCAGTGGAAACGTGTCCTTGACTGGACAAAACGTGAGTTCTGTATCTGCTAAGGAACACGATAATCAAACATTGCATTGGTTCAAATATGAACATTAAGTCAAGACTTGTGAGCTAAGAACAATTGCAGAAATAACCACCTGTAAAATAGTCAGCAAAGACAACGTTCAGTCTGTCATCTTCATGTTTTCCAGGTAACATAGCCTTCAGGTGAGCTTGGTTGCAAAACTTTTGATGCCAATGATTCAGCTACCAGTACGCTCAGAAAACCTTAATCTGTGTACTTTTAATACGTTTTCTTCAATGGCTGAAAATACCATTGATCTTCCAAACAAATTCTAAGACTGTAGGGAAGACTCGGTGGCTGCAGTATATAGGCCATTGCCAGTATTTGCAGGAGGAAACGGAAGTGCTTTAGGGTGGTTCTGCATGGAGTGCAAAGGCAAAGTGCTAGCTGATGCTGCTTCCTGCAGCCCAGGCTCACTGACCGACCATGCAAGCCATGGCCAGGTCTTGTACAGAATGGAAAAGAAGGACTGAGGAAAAGGTGCAAGTGAAAATGGAGCGACAGTGAGAAGGAACTAAAAATCGCTCGCAAAATGGTACTAATAAACACTCAAAGCAGAAAGGTTGGCAGTTTAACTTCTGTTACATCCCTGAAAACAAACTTGACTGGATAGTCTCCTGCTGACTTACAGCCAGGCGCAACAGTAACATTAGCTGTGAGTACACACCAAGATGTCAATCTGCCTCCGTTCTGCTCATACCTCTTTGGGCACCTTAGGGAGAAAGAAAGAGAAGAAACAGTCAGAGCTGCTAGGTGAGTCTGCTTGTTTATGGATCACGTAGAAGGGCATTTGCATAGATTTCTGGGGACACAGTCAGTAATTAAAATGCCCCAAGTTAGATAAATATTCTAAGCAATTTCTTTCTTCCTTTCTAGATTTCTTGGGATCTACATGAGATCCACTAAGATCTGAACTCAATAAGTTTGTGCAAGGGACTGAGTAAAGTGACTTCTTCATGAAGTCGATAGCAGGGACAGAGCTTAATCGCTACATATGTGTCTTGGATGTCTGTTTCCTTTTTTACACTCTTCTGACAATCAAATGTTTCAGCAAGGATGAAAGGGAGATTGAAGAATATATGGGAAAGACTATGTTAAAATCCAGCATTGTCACTATAAAAGCCTAAAAAAGTGTGTTACTTATGGATGGGGTAAACCTGAGGTTACTATGGTCTGAATGGTTATAAAGCCTTGAATTTCCTTCCTCTCTTCCAGGTTTCCCTCGAGTTCCTTGCAAAGTAAAAATTGCAATTCATGTCATTGGGCTGAATGATTCAATGATTCTCTTGGTAAATGCATACTGTCAGGATTTGCGACCATGGTGCAAAGAACAAAGTCTAGAGCTGGTACCTCGTAGATAGCAAAGCCAATGGTGTACAGGTTGGCTCCCAGCTTGCGTTCCTTCCTCCTATTTTTCTGCATCAGTGCGACGAGGAAGCTGCAGATGACCTCTTCATCCTCAGGATCATCATCTTCCTCCAGGAGCTTCAAGCGATACTGGGGATTGGTCCAAAACGTATCTGTGAAATCCCACCAACAACCCAAAGCAAACATGTAAAGCTTCAGTTTTCTAACAATACTCATGATCAAAGAGAACTTTTCAGTTCCTTGCCTGTGGCTCCTGAGGGAAAGGTTAAAATTGGGCTAATACACTTTATTTTTAATGTGTTACGGTTTTTACACAGTTCTAATAAAAACCGCACAGCAAAGGAGGATATAGAATGAAGAATTGGCATCTGACAAACTTCCAAAGCCCCTAAAACTATTAGAAGGTGAATTTCCCAAGTGAAATCTGTTAGAGAGAAATTGATCTCTTATCTTACTTGGGGCACAGTGGAGTATTTGAACAATTTATCTTTGCCAGGCCTGCCTTTTGGGCTTACAAGGCACTGTCACAAACATAGTGACAGAAGATTTTCAGCTACAAAATCACGTGCCTCATCTACTGAGGAAGCAAAGCTTTTCCTGTGGCTGAGCACTGATCAGGCTGTGGTATGACACAGTCTGTGGGATCTAATACAGTCCCCATCAAAGAAGCCATGTCTCTCAAGAGCCATTGCTCACCTGGATAATTGCGGCAACCTCCAGCTGAGCAGCCTCTCACCCAGCGCCCTTCGTTGACTGACACAGTCCAGGTCTGGAGTTTATTGGCTTCCAGAGTATCAGGTGTGAGGTTACAGATCTCGAGTTTTGTGAAGTGCCTCATGAAATCTTCAAATGATATCCTGGAGGAATTGAGGGGAAACTGAACACAAATGGATTTACAGGGTGTGGGTGACCAATGATGCTGCCACTATTAGGGAAAGTTTGCAGTGGGAGTGCCATCATTTCCTAATGCTGGTTGGTCAATTAACACAGGTACAGCTTGAAAGTGGGAAAAACTGGCCTGAGAGGATGGTATATAGGAAGGGTGATGGAGAGCTTGTGGCAGTGTAACATAATTAGGACTGTACTGGTGGCACTCGATAAACCTGGTGGGAGAATGAGGGGATCACAGAACAGGGCTTATTTGGAGTCTGAAGGAGGACAGAGATTACTGCAATGGTTTTAGCAGATTTAAGTAGTGCAGTGTGATTCATTTTTGCTATGGTTGTGGATCTCCTAAAGAAGCACAGGTTTTAGACTGATATTCTCACCAGAACTCCCCATCCTCTATGATCTTGTGCTGCAGGCGGATTTTCTCTGCCTCATTAATGAAATTCCATTCCTCTGACCTTCAAAGGAGTAAACAAGTTAGATTATGATTTGCAATACAATTCTCATAAAAATCTCGACTCTTTACACTAAGCCTCATAGAGTGGAAAGTCAAGAGTCATCTTGATACATTCAGATAATTTTTCCTTTGTGAGCGTTGCAACCATTTGTTCTCTATGCTGCCCTCCTCTCCACATGCCAAATCAAAAAGCAATTGCCCTCTTCTATCCGCCTTCCCTTCAGAATTCCTCTTGGCAGCTCTCAAAAATCTCCTGAACTGTGTTCATTTTATTCAGCCTGAAGAAAAAAGTGTTTGCAGAGTCTCGTCTCATTGCTGGAGTAGCTACTAAAATTCCTTTTAGTAAAAACTAATGAGAAGCTTTATCCAAACTCTCATGTACTGACATCTTGCTTCATCCAGTTCTCTCATAACTTACAAGATTTTCCTAATGTCACATCTTGTTTTATAAATGGACATTGCTGAACTTGCTAGACAGTAAAATCAGCTTGACTGTGCCATCAGACCAGGCTCTTTCTTCATTTCCATCGATTAACGCCCATCTTAACATCTTTTTTAGGTACTCTTTTCTTTTTACAGCTTCAGCTAAGTACTCAACTATGATCAACTTCAAAGTGCATGTGTCAAAATGACAGCAAAGACAATTTGGATACCTTATTGTTAACTGTGAGTCATGAACAAGCTGCATAAGGGCAAATAAAGCTGCAATTTTTTTTTCTCAAATCACATGAAGCTCCATTTTACTCACTTGTCACTCCAAGGTCCATTCCATTCCACCTGCCCCCAGGGGTTTCTCAGCCTTACCAGACGTATTTTTTCCCCTTTAAATGTTGTCTAATTGAAAAAGAACGCAAGAAGAATAGCCTGAGAGTAGGTTCAAAAGGAAAGTTTCTGCCTGTTGAATCGCTAATACGAGCTCCTCCAGTGATGGTGCTTTCCTGGGCCATTGCTCAGCTTGATCTGCTTGGAGTGAGCCTGGGAAAGCTGTAAGACCAGGAGGTTGCTGTCTGTGACTACCTTTGCCCAAGCGGTGGAATAACCTTTACCCCAGAAAGACCAAACTTGGACAGGTTTGTTTCTCCACAAGGCTTCTATTTATTTAATTTTTTTTTTCCCTTAGCTCATAATTTTGCTTTTTGCCCCCACCTCATAGCTTTGCTGATGTGCTTGATGCTAGGCCAGTGTAGACCACAGCTCCCCATAGGTGGAGGAAAGGGACTATACGTACCTCTTCCACGGCCGTGACAGAGTAAGCATGACCTTTGACAAGCCCACAAGACATCCGGGTTTCATACTGCATTGGCATTATGGTCTGTTGGACACAAGATAAAAACTTGTAAGAATCATGCAAAGCTCAGCTGGCTGCTCTAAGGCAGGTATTGCCACCCAGGGCTTTTGTAGACAGAGGATGACCCTGTTCAGGTGACAGTGGTTTTTGTCTTGTTCTCTTCTTTGCGTTTGACAAGATGGCCAGCCTTAGTGCCTACAGAATTAATGTTGTTGGTTAGAAAGGAGTGAAGCATGAACTAAAAAAGGAAAAAGTCAATAATAACAATTAGAAAGGACGTTTTGTGATTTACTTTTTCACTTTGTGTAGGTTACTGCTTTTTGCACTTTGGAACATACTGGTATATATCGTGCTTAAGCAAAACAATTAGATTTTCTATTAGTAGGGCTATTCAGCCTTTTCTGGGATAGTATGTGCTTTTACGGCTCAGTAAGCTTATTACATATTAACTGAAAACATCAGAGCAGATCAACATCTAGAAGAATACTTTCGTCTTTACACATGCTGCTATCTTATCACAATGACATTAAAACACCCTATTTAATGCACTGTTCCTATTAACTTACACTATTTTTTAAAAATTAATTTCCTGTGGAAATATACATTTTATCCCATAATCATTAAAATCCTTGTGATTCAAATTTTTTCCAACTGATATTCTGGAAGGGCATAGCTTTCTTCAGCAATGTGTTGCTCAGGTGTAAATACATTTGCTGTCTTGGTTATCAACTGTTAGTGTGTCTGACAGATTTTTTTTTTTTTTAAATTTGCAAATCTCAGAATGCTGTTTATCTGGGAGATAAAGAATTGCGAGCAAAGTAGCAGGTGCACACAGCCTGATGTGCCTGTAGAGAGCTCACCGAGATCAGTGGGAAGGGAAGGTTCTACTATGCGCACATGGGGCATGTGCAAAACTTCCCCTCCTCCATTACGTCTGTCACTAAGAGATGACTGCAAGGCCCTGCCAGTAAGTCTGCCATCCCTTCTTGACGTATCTGAGGACATGAGAAAGGCAAGGCTGGAAATGGAGAATTAGTAAGGTCACACAGATCACAGATACATTCTCAGCTTGCACAGGGAGGATCTTGTCCAAATATTTCCTGGCTGTCGCAATTATTTTCCATTATTTCCCTTCTGATCCTGTTTCTTTTTTTTGCTTTCTGTTTCCATACTTTTTATGCCTATATCCTCATATCTATATCCCTTTTTCTTCATTTCTACTCGCGTTGTTGCCATCGTTACTTATCAGACCTCCTTTATCTCTTTTCTTTTTAAGAATATTGACTTCTGCTGGTACCCTGGACCCCTTCTCTGAAGTGCTTCCGGAGACTGCACTATCTGCCTCTTTCCATCAAGTGTCATGATTGTTTTTTTCTGGTGATGGCTCGGGAATGTGTAATAACCAGCAGCACAACAGCTGCTGGGGCAGCAACTAGAGAAAGAGTTTTGCAACCTTCTTTCAGTAGGCGGTCACTGGGGAGGAAATTCCAGTGATTTGGGCAGCCATGCTTGCAAAACAAGACAGTCATACTGGGCTTCCCTGAAGAATTACACCATTTCAGTCTTTTAGGAAGACTAAATACGGATGTCAAAAGAGGAAAGATCGGCTATTTCTGCTGCAAATGCAGAAGACAGTTTGCACAACCAAAAATTTGAGATGATGTAATTGTAGAGAAGTGTTTTTTTGGTTTGTTTGTTTGTTTGTTTTTTCTCTGTAAAGCAAGAGATGTAATTTCATTGTCATGGAAATGCAACTCCCTAAAGGGCAAGGTATGACAGCTACCTGACAGAGAGAAGGCAGCAACATGTCCCTCTACAGATTTGAAAGCTTTTAAGTTTACCAATATAGGATTTTTCTTAAATGGTTTTAACATCCCTCTCTTTATTTTGCTAGATACTTAGGTATGCTGGAGTAAAAGTCATCATACATATATAACTCAACATGCTTTTTTTTTTCCTTGTTAGGCATTTTAAATTAGGATTTTAATGGCAATAATCTCAAAGGAGCATCCTGAAAGCAGACCTCCCTCCATTTGTGGGCAGAGCTCCATAGCACTGTGTCTCAAAATAAGTTCCCCAAAAGCTTTTGTGCCTGGAGTGAGCTGTGCAGAGGTTGCTTTTTTTCATATCCTGCACACACTCAGAGATCTTTTTCTATTCTAGTACTTAAATTTTCTTGTTCTCTCCATCCTTTGCAAGTGGGGGAATTGAAAAAATCTGCTAATAATTTCCCGTTCAGGAAAATTATAAGCCTCTGCCACAGGCCAACAGCCTTTTGCCTCAGTATCAACAAAGCCTTCTAGTATCAGTCACTGTGTTTGAAAGCACTGAAGTCTTTTAACACATATGTCAAATATCATCCATAAGAACAGGTCTTTAGTGTTGGGATAATTCAGTGAAGCTGAATAAGGATTCAAAAGCATAGCTGATATGTTTCTCTAACTGTCTGTAAATAAAAGCACTGTGAAGTCCAGCACTTCTGGAGACATACGAACCCAGGCTGGCCTCTCATCTATCCCCTGGTAGTCTACAGTGGAGTGAGTCATCTGTGCGTTTTCTAGATTCTTCACCATTCGAGCAATCAGTTCTCCAATGTCGCTCCGGGGAGCTGATCCGTAGGAAAAGCCTAGGTTATCCTGGTACAGAGAATGGGAGAAAAGTATTACATGGAAGAAATGATACAAGAAAGATGAGAGGTAAAAGATAGCCAAGATAACTTCTCCTTTATTATGTCCATACCTACCTGTAGTGGTTGATAGCACTGGTTTTTCTCCTGCCTTTACTGCAACTTCATACCCCATAATTGATATTGAAACTAATTTTTTTACTCTTATATTTACTATAAATGAAGAAAATCTGAGGCTATGTTGGCAATCAGAGGGTTAATTTCCAAAGTGTTTGCACAGTTATCATCTTTGACATGAAGATTTGTGTCTTAACAAAGTTACAGCACCCCCATGCTAACCTCATTTTATTGGGTGAGGGCACTGAGGGTGGGGGATGCTGGTTTTGGTGATCACACCCCTTCTCTTCACCTCCATGTTCTGCTTCTGTTCATTTCCCTTTTGGTGCTTGCTGTTTGGTAATGAGTGGTGTCTATCGGAGGTTACTCCATACGCTAGACATGGATGTTTGCTGTGTGGACTAAACCCAGCAGTTCCAAAAGGTGGCACATATTTGACTGTGGATGGAGAGGGCCCTCTCCTCTGCCATTTCTTATGGCTGATCTGCAAAGTTCATACGGACTCACATCAATGGAGCTGGCCATGAGGGATCCTCTGTCAATAGCATGTTTCATGATCTTATAGATATCTTTAGGGGCATCCTTTATCTCATAGAACTCTGTGACTCCTCCAGTGAAGTCCTCCATGGCTTCAGTGGTGTTGCCTCCTTTCAAAGCTTCATATGACCCATGGAGTCTTGGAAAAAGAAAATAAAAAGATTCCCTTTTACACAGATAAAGATACATACCTACATATTTATAACTATCTTGTGTGTGTATAAATATAGATACGTAAACACACATACTAAAAAACCCCACAAACCATCTGTTTGATAGACCACAAGTTAAAAATTTTAAAACATGCCACCTGCACACATCAAAAAAAAAAAAAAAAAAAAAAATTGAGAATCAAATGTAGACCTCTGAATGAGCAGCAAAGCCCTCTAGAAATTATACTTTACCCCATCCCCAATTCTGAGGCATGAGAATCTACAGGAAAAGGCACTGCTATGTTCAGAGCCTCTCTACGTGCTCATTGTAAGTTCTGTAGGCAGTGGTTTAACCACCTCCCCAGCCAAAGCCTCGGCAGGAACCCCAGCACAGTCTGGCAGGTAGTTTTACTTTGCATAGGCCTTTTCCAGGAGGGCACTCCAGAACTCATTGCGCTGGGAGGACTTGGTAAAGACCAGCTGGTTGTTGTATGTGGGTAAGCAGTCATCAATGACGACGTCCACCCAGTCTCCGTAGCGCCAGAACTGAATAAAGGCAAACAGAAAAAAAACCTGGGTTGACTTGATGCAGGAAGGGGGAGCCTGGCTGAAAAGCCAGGCTGAGAGAGAAGAAATGTGGAAATTAACTGCTTCATAATGTGGCAAAAAGTGATGGCCACTGGGAGGGAGCCAGCTGTACTGAATTCCCCTGGTCAACGCATGTGGACAAGTGAGAGGTCCCTTAAGACAGTCAAGGGAAATGTGGAAAGCAGTCAATCTTTCTGAATAAGCGGTTCTTCAATAACTTGTTTTTGACAGACCAGCTGCTTGTGGATCTAAAAATAGATGCTCTTGCCAACTGCCTGCGTGTCTGTGCTGGCTGTAGGGCTGCATCTGAGCAGCGAGGCAGGACAAGACACCTGCTGCTATCCCTTATGCACAGGACACGACCATCTGCAAATGCTTCCTCGATGGGTCAATGCTCCCTAGTTGCCTGTATAGGCTGGCCCTTCTGTGACTGCCCTGTTGGAAGAGTTTGGGGTGAGGCAATTCAATCTCTCTTCCTTCCCTGCTGTTACGCTTCCAAAGGGTGGAGAAGCGAGAGGCAAGATCGCACCGAGAGCTGAGTTCCCTTGAGTACATACAGTTACATCTGCTTCCTGCTAGACAAGAGGACTACCTGAAAGTGAAAGATGCCAGCATAGTTTTGTATGAAGGACTGGTCATGAGGTATGACTCTACAGAGTAGTTTTTTATTCAGCGTCAGGCAAGCAATGGCAGCCAGGAACCAGCAGTCACCTATAAAAAAGCAGAAGTGGCAGACAAACTTAAGAGACAGAGTAACTAGAATCAAAGGGAAAACCTCAGATACTGCAAAGTGACACATTAATTCTCAGTAGAGCATGCCATCGCCTTTCAGGAGAGGCTCTTCATGTTTTCTGCAGTACTTTGGAACTGTATTTATTTGTGGTCTGGAAATGGTCATTGGTATCTCTGATGGCTAGGTACACACATATTAAATAGATGATGTTGCCTGTAATTTAGAAAAAAACTAAAATCTGATGAGCACTGTTACCTGTGTTAAGATTTCCCTGTCCCATGTGAATGCCTATCTGAATTCCCATGTTAGTTCTCCTTCCAAGCTTAGGACAGAGACCAGCTGAGAGAGAACTCTCTTGCAGTTGGATCTCTACACAGCCAAGATTCAGTCTCTCATTTTCATTTTCTGCTCCCAAGCTAACCCGCTGTCCCAGTCATCGTTCTGTGGGGCCTCTTTCCTGCTTTGTTGCTCTGACGCGTTTTCCTCTTCTTGAATCTGTGTCTGCACTGTTGTAAACACTGTCCCCTTTAGCACTTTTCAGTTCCTCCTTCAGACTCCTCTTGCACAAGCTTGCTGGCTCTGTGGGATCTCTGGGAAAGTGACTCTCTCCCATAGTACTTCTGTGTTCAGCAAAGGATGCCTCAACCCTTAATTAAACCCTCCTAACTGCTACTGTAAGAAAGGTTATCATGTCAGCTTGCCTGAGCAGTGTGAATTAGTGAGGTGAGAGAATTATACAAGGTAGTGAAAAACCAACCTGATTGCAGGGATTTTTAAAAGAAATTTGTGAAACTGCTGGAGTGATAAAACATATAGAAATACATATATGTGTATATTTTGGAAAGACAACTCTGTACATATAGCAGTACATTCTATGTTACCTATTTCCCCTTAGGAAGGATGTGGGGTCCACTGTGACCAGGAGTTTTCTGAACAATGTGTCAGCAGAAGTCAAAAAGGTAAACAATGCTGTAAGTACTTGGGAAAGGAATGGGAGACAAAAGAGAGAACATATTATGCATGTAAATTCATTTGTGTCCACACCTCAGCAACTGTGAAGTTCTGGTCACCTCAAAAAGAAAGGCAGATTTAAATAAATTTTTTTTAAAAAAAAAAGTACTGGGACGGTGATGAGGACAGTTACAAGCACAGAACAACACTTAAATGAAAAGATTAACACACATGAATATGTGAATATGTGTTATCTTAGGAAAAAGATCACGGGAGAAGTTATAAAACCATTAAAGACATGGGAAAGCTGAGTGGGGAATGACTTTACAAAGCAGTGCAGGTGAGTGCCGCGTGGATGACCGTTGCAGAGGCATCACTTGTACCTAAGTAGTGGCTCTACATATCAAAGTATCTTTGAGCATCTGAGCTTAAGGTCTTCAATCTAGGGGTTGTCCTTGAGTACAAGGCACACTTAGCTGGCTGCCTTCAGAAGCTCCTGTATGGAAATAACAGGACTAAATACCTGAAAAATACAACAGGATCTGATTAGATTTTTCTCTCAGTCGAATGTCTCCGCTTTATCTCTTATTCTTGTCTTAACTAATTTTGTCCTTCCTCAAAGCTAGAAAGAAAGGCCAAATGGTGTTTTGTAACACACTCACGATAGTAGTTCTTAAAAAGCAAAACACCCTGCAAAGCATCTTTTGCTTAAGTTCTTCCGTAGATTGCTACTAGGCAGATATCAATGATTTGCTATAGAAAGAAGGAATCAGTTGATGTGTAGTGGTATACTGAGAGACAGGATTTCAAATATCAGCTAGCAAGCAAAATAAAATTAGGTGAGAGTTAAACTATGATGCAAACTTTAAAAAGTGCAGAGCTGAAGTAAGAATTTCATACCTAATTCTCCTTGGCAGATATCTGTTCTGTTTGCTCCACCGATAATAAACCGTGGATTCTCACATATTTCCTGCAAAATATAAACAGATAGATGAGCAGGAAAAACATGCATTATGACACCTGTCTGCCACAGAAATAAAGGCTGGTTTAGGACAATGTTTTCCTGTAAGAGAGTTTGTGGATATCAAAATCTCTTGCAGAGTTTTTAGATGCAGAGTTTCACTATGAAAATGTTTTGGAATCTGGATGTTCCAGACTTCAGCCAGAGTTTTCTCCCTGTATCTACAGGGTCTAACAGCTAGCTTGAGGGGCTCTCTCTGTACGGGGTGCAAACACATTGAAATGAGAAGAATAGGGCAAAATATTTTTCTACACAATAATGAAAAAAACACCACTGAAGGACAGAGAAGAGCAGGTAGGTGGAAAGAGCATCAGGGGACCAGATTAAATTCTTTTAAAATGATTGCAAGTTTAAGGTGTCCAATTTGCAGCAACTAATATGCTGGGACATTAATAGGGTTGAAGAATGTATTTCATCAGGAATGAACCCCAGTAACACTCCTCCTTAACATTTGCCCAGGATCAGAGGTGTAATTCTCAGGAAAAATCAATTGCTGATTAAGAGATCTTATTCTTTTCCTCATGTTGCAGTGTTTAATTGCCAATGCTGCATTCAGAAATGTATACAGATATCATCTGTCTCTCAGGACAGAAAGGTCTTCTTTTGTCCTGCACTTAGGACAGTGTGTTGTGTTTGTCAGTATTTATACTAGTACAGAATGGGCACAAGATGCTGTAGAGGCATAAATAATTAAGGAAGTGCTGTAGGGAGAAAAGGACTATGTAGGAACTACTAGCAAATGAGGTGGAACTATCGCAGGGTTACACAGAACCTTTTCTATATGGGACAAAGAACCGCGGGGTATAGGAAAGCCAAGGGAAGAAGTAGGTACAACCTGTCCTACAAAGAAAAAAAAGAATCCCTGCTTTATCCCATCTCTTATACTCAAATACTTGGTATGGGGAAGAAAAAGAAGATGCTTAACTTTTGGACCCCTGTCTTGTGAGGATAAGGAAAGAAAGATATTGCAACCTGAGGACCACTTCCCTGAGCAGCTGCAAATGGGGGGAAGAAGACATAGTCCAAGAACCCAGTTTACTGGAAGATGGCAGGCTGGAGTGGGAAGGAGAAAGAAGAAAGAACTAACAATTGCTTGTGTGGCGGTACAGGCAGCTGACGCTACCTCTGCAGTCTAAAGCTTATTTCCCATGTCATCAGCGTAGCCCTGGATTTTCCCAGACTCATATTTCAGGTCTAGTAGTTTCACTTGGCTTGAGCCTACTTTTTTTTGCTTCTTCACAGTAATCTACAGAGCTGCTTTGATGCAAGTTATTTGGATTAGTCATAAAGACAGACAGAGAGACCAGCTTCTGGCTCCCCCCAGCAGTCACCTTATTCTCCTCGAGGGAGGGAATGGAGGGATTGTCTTATTTTGGGCCTTGGTCAGCTGTCCTGGGTCCAGTTCTGTCAAGGCAGCTGTTTGAGATGCCTTCATGCTTTTCTCCACCCACGTATTTTGTTGTTCTTCCTCATGTTGCTGTGGTGCTCTCCTGAAAACTAGCTGTGAGATGCCAGGTTTTGGGACTGTTTTTTCAACCTCTGTTACTGTATTTTAGCTTGATCCTGCTTCTACTGAAGTAACAAGCTCTGAAATCCAGCATGCTGTCTTTTAGATGAAAGTGGTTAGATGGTGCCTAAGTGTTTCCAAATATTAAAGGCACAGGGATGATTGTTTTTCAGTGCAATTTGTTGCATCTTGGGCATGTTTGCTTTGAAGGATGGTTGTTAAAGGAATGCAAAGGAGGGAATCACACAATTGTCATACGGACTGATTTAGCTATGACAGAAATGCTTTTCTTGCATTTCTTTATGGTGGATGTGCTTTTAATACTGTATTACTCTAGTTCCTCTCCAGCTGTGCTAGTTGTGCTGACTCCAGATGAAGTTACAGGGAAAGGTTTCAAGGTCTTCCAAGGCTGATCAAAAGTACGCAGTCAGCAGAGCCTGACGACCTGCTGTTCAAGATGCAGGTGGCAGGTCTGTCCTTCCAGTCTTCCTGGCTGGGCAAGGGGTTGCTCTTCATCTCTTAGGTCAAGCTTTCACAGAGAATCCCAACAGGCTGCACTTCATTGGTGCAATGATTCATCTAGAAAGAGTCTCCTCTGATCTGAGTGCCTCAGACTGCCTTGGTACTATCCAAAGGACCTTTCTATTCACCGGGTTGATTCAAATGGAACTGTAATTTCAAGAGCCAAATTTACAGCAAGGGAGGCAGAGAATCCTAGGAAAAACCCATTAGTAGTGCATGCTGCTTTCTGGGCAGAGGGTACTTATGAATCAGTTAGAAGGCAGCACTGGAAGAAGCAAAGACAGCATGCAACTAAAAATGGCATTTGACCTTTGTTGTATTTTCATTAGCTTTTCTTCTGTGTCAGGAAAAAGTCAGCTTATACTGTTGCAGCAAAAGGCATTCATTCCTTTAAAAGCTGCTGTTAATAAACTATGGCATTCTAAGTAAATTCCCTAAATGAATCTTATCAACTAGAGGAAGCATCTTCTTTGGCCTGCCTGGGACAATTTGTAGGCTCATGCTTCTCCCTTGGCCTCTCATGGTCTAGATCATGCTATTAAATGGCTGTGCTGCAGACTTCAAGGCAGAGCTCGACATCAGACACCAAACTGGTTTTAGGGTTTCAGAGTCGGATTGCCCTCATGTGAAAGTCCTGCCTTGGTGTCACCAAATGCTTTGTGGTACTGCCTGCAGAGGCACACGTTTTGTGATTACTAAATTCAAACAGCTTCACACCTGTGCGGCAGATGATCTGATTGATTCATTTTCATTCTAAGCAAAACCTATCTGTCTGCTGACTTGATTTTATTTGTATTCGTTATGAAAAGAAAGCTCCTTCTGCTGATTTTCTTGTCTACAGAGAGGATCACCATAGGGAAGTCATTGAATCAGGCAGGTCATGCTGAGACCTCCTGGCTGTAAGCAAGAATAACAGCGGTCCATTTGAAAGCACAGTGTCACAGCAGAGCCTTCCTATTAATGTCCTAGTGTCTTAGAACCAAAAAGGACTGCAGCAGGACCTCTTGATACTCTACATTAAGTTATAATAAAGACTCTTTCTCAACACTTGAAGACTGGCAACCTTGTCCCTGCTCTCAGCTGAGAGAAGCTCCCACAGGCAGCATAGGTGTGGGACTCTAAGGACCTTAAGAAAGCTAAGCACAGCCCGTTACCATGCTGGATATAACCTGGCACAGGTGAGAATGGCTCTTTGGGCTTCTCTTACCTTCCATGGGTGAGCAAATAAGTTAACATTATGCATTATGTGGCTGCCCCCTCCCTGGCAATGTTCAAGGCCAGGTTGGATGGGGCTTTGAGCAACGTGGTCTAGTGGAAGGTGTCCCTGCCCATGGCAGGGGGGTTAGAACTAGATGATCTTCAAGGTCCCTTCCAACCCAAACCATTCTGTGATTCTGTGATTAACTGAGGGGGATTCTATTTCCCCTTTATGTACCTAAACCATGCTCATGCGTACCCTGAACACTGGACGGATCCTGCAGTCTTTACTCAGGGAAAATTTTAGGGCTGTCACTTGGCTTTTGCCCAAATTATTAGGAGGTCTGCTCTGCACACTCATATTGTGGCATGGCAGTCACTAGCTGGGTAGAATTACAGGGGCCTTCTCGCCATCCCCATACCAAGGCTCACAGCTGCCCTGTGTGGCAGCCATCCTTCTGTCGGTAAGGCACAAGACCAGTTCTTGTGCCCTCTCTGCCCTCACAGCAGTGGAGGCCAATCATTTTGGGAGGTGGTGGAGGACCTGACCTCCAGGTAGTACCAACCACAAGGAGAAGAGCCTGTATGCCAGACGCACAAGAGCAAGCGGTAGCTCTGGAGCTGGGATGCCGGACGCCTCTTACCACCTCAGTAATGAATTTCAGGACCCTCGAGGAAAAGCTCGAGTCACAGCACAGCCATCGCCAGGCGAAGTGGGGAGAGCCCAGGTCCTGGCAGCCCATGTGTGGGAGGGGAAGTTGCCCACACTGGGCTTAGCAGGCACCTCAGCTCAGAGCCAGGGATCGGGGGAGTGTCATCCACGTGGCTGACTTGCTGTGGGGTCCTCGTAAATCCCAGGTGCAAAAGCAGACTCACAGCCTTTCTGTATGTCAGCATAGTACGCTGAGAGCAACAGTGAAGAAGCACTATTCAGCTGAGGATCAACATAGTCATCTGTGCTTGGTTATAGCATTGGTAACCAGCAAACGCACGCCCTTTAGATCACCTTTGTGATTCCTCAAACAATGCTTGGAGCTTCTGGAAAAACTTGCATTCAACAGTCCCATGTGGATTCATTTTATGGCAAATAATGCTCGTTTAAAGCCAGCATTAATATTTCAGATATATTATATTCTTATACATTAATCTCCTGTGGTGGGGGGTGCAGCTTGGGAACAAACGGATTAGGTGGAATGACTAAGGTGAGTCGGGAACGGGTTACCTATTTCCTAGCTCTCTGTTTTAAATGAGGTCTTAAAGCACATTGATCACTCATTTATTTGCTATTTCTGGGGGTATGTGGCATATAAAAGATGCTATAGAAATCAAGGAAAGGATCTAGAATGAAGCCAGTATTAGGATATTCTCTTAGGACTTCTGAACTGTCTGATATTTGGTTTTCTTTTAGAATATGTTATCAAGTCTGATTCAATTCAAGTTCGACCTGAATTCTGAAGCGATTAAAAGCTACCACTTTATAAGACTATAGTTTGTAAGCTAGTTGCTTTATTTGCCAAAAAAATGCCATTGCAATTTAAGAAGAACAGAAGTTGTCCGTATTTTTAGACTATTACAAAACGTGGCCTCTGCAGTTGAATCTTTACGTTCAGTGCTTCAATGGTTGCTTTAATCTCTTAGTGAAATACTCTTTAGCCCAGTATTACTACTTCATATTCATTTGACTTTATGATGCTCTGTTAACATGTCTATGATGGCTATTCAT